TCTTAGTAAAATACAAATGATTTGAATTTCAAATTTGATGTAAAGTTTGTGCTCATGTAAAATTTGCAGTCTCTTCTTTGTGTTGTGTGCTGCTTCAGTGCCAAGATAACCCCAGAGCAAATAAATAAAACCAGATTCTACTGAAGCTTTCTGCACTTCATGGGATTCATAGTTTATTTAGAAGTCTTTATAATGTGTCTGGAAAGGCTGCAGGCTGCAGCCACTGTTGGCCAGAAAGACAGGAAGTTTCCAACATTTATTCTCTGATTTTAATCCCAAAACATGTTAATGACATAAAACTGACTGCTATTACAAATCTCTAAAATGTCAGAACCAACAACCTTAAAAATCTTTTTCAAGAAATGTGTTGGCATGGCATTTTTTGGGCCAGATGATGTCTTTATACCATTACAAAGTTCTTCTACCTGATTAAAACACACAGGTTTAAACTGGTCAAAGGCAGTAGAGCAGGTGAATTTTGTAAAAACTTCATGTGAAGGTAGGGCGGTCATACATCAGAGTTGTTCTATCTTATTAACGAAAAACTGAAAAAAATCTTTCACACGTTTCTGTGCAGCTATTTATATGAGAAGCAGGGGAAAATTCAGGGCCGAGTCAGTTACTGAGAAAAGAAGCCGGGGGTTGTTGGAGCTATTCTCAATAATATTGGCAAAGGATTGTGTGGGAGCGTTTCATTCGTTCCATAAGGAGTACTTTAGTCTCAGTTCTCAAAGAACAAGCTTTGGGTGATGAAAGACTCCAAACAGTCTTCTGTGAAGTTGAAGCTATATTGAACGACAGACCCATCACCAGAGTTTCAGATGACTCATGAAGCATTGATATGAATGATCTTCATATCACGAAAAAGTGTAAACAGGTACAGTACATGGCAGAGTTGTTTGCAAGATGCAAGAAAGACAAAAATGGACGAGGACTAAAAGATTTCTTATACCTGGAGATAGTGTCTTGATTACAGACGCTACAGCTCCAAGAGGATCATGGATGATGACAAAAGTCTTAAATGTAAACCAAGATGCAAAAGGCTTGGTGCGTTCTGTGAGACTACAAACAACGACGTGCGTTTTGGAGAGGCCAGTTGCAAAACTTCTTTTGCTACTGGAAGAGAAATAACATCACGAACAGAGATTAAGGACTTGCCTGAGGGAATAGCTCCTTTTTTTATAACTTTAAAGTAATTGTGATTGTATGCACAATCAGGGGCCAGAGTGTTGGAGCCATTTATTCTTTATTTTTGTTATTTTGAGATTTGTTAAAGTTTGTTGTTGAGTTTATTTGCAGGTTAATATTTGTTTCATTTTGTTTTGGTCTGTTGTTTATCTTGTTAAGTCAGCCAGGAAGAACTGTAGGCAAATTTAGTATAAATAAAGGGACTGGTATATGACCAGCATGCTCTAAGGTGGGCCTATGGTTTTTTACCAGAATAGGAGAAGCAGCAGGAAGGTACAATGATG